TGCATGAGGGTGTGTTTTCTAAACCTGGTAAGTACCAATGTGACTTTTTCCAAATTATATGTACTTTCTATTTAAACACCACTGACATACGGTGAAGAGAAACATTGTGAGGATACCTGGACATAAAATTCCTAATTATAAGTTTGGAATAACCAATCTGCCTTAAGCAAGCGTCGTGATTAATGCTCAAACCTTCTCCGTGTGAGAAGAGGCCTTTGCTCAGCAGTTGGCACTTGTAGCTGATGATGTATTCATAGATAGGAGCAATTAAACTATCCTACAATATCTATAAAAATCTTTTTGGTTTTCAGTATTTTGAGGACAATATGTAAAGGTTCTATCGGTGACGACTGTGAAAATCCACAAGAAACATATTATTACAAATATTTATTTAATAAAAAAGTGTATTACAAAATCTCCCATGTGGCTTGCGGAGGGCAAATGGCAGTCGTTGTATATAATATTTACATGAGGAGGGTTAGGAATATAATAATATTGTCTACCTGAGCCCTGTTTCTATCATCGGAGGTACAAACCTCCCCGACGTTGGCTACTTTGAATAGATCGCGTCTTTCCGAAATTGTGTCTTCGTCTTTGAGGTACAAACAGAAACTATTTGAAAGCCCTTTGAAATGCTAATGTAAGGTTTATTTTCCCCTTTTTGTGGTTCGTACTTTTCATTAGATTGAGTTTTTGTATTTCTACCACCGATGTAGTCTGCTAAATGTTTGCAGAATCGTGGTCCTTTTGGATGTAAATACGAAATTTTACCTTACCTTAGTAGGTTTTTTTTGTAAAAGCACCTGGTCCTTTGATATTAATTCAATGAACGTTAAAAAATTGCCGTTTTTTAATCCTACCCACATCCGATATTATTGAGTCTTTTATAATATACCTACCGATATATTTTTTTTTGGAATTCAATTTGCAAAGTTACATTATAAATTTATTTTATCCGATATTGAAACTTCAGTTCGCTTTTCATGTGTCACACAAAATGTAGCCTTTTTTAAACGTATTTTTCTTTTGTGGAGCATATGATATGTAAGCAAATCCGCTTGTGTTTCGTTTTATTTCAAATTCTACAAACTATTTTATACAAATTGACGTTGCGTGGGTTTAAATTATTTTGACATTTACAGATAGTCCTATATGTTGTTAAAAGGACAAGGACGAAAGGATCTGAAAAATTAAGACACGTTGTCTAAGATCTAAAATAAGAATTTTATAAATCCGTACAGAAATAACTTGGATGCCATTACTTAATTATGATGGTTGGAGTAATTGTCAGGACACAGCAAAAAAGAGACAATAAGTAAAGTGCTGTCAAAGTGTAGGCGTGAAAAACGAAGAAATATTTTTAATCTGCACCCACTCGCCATTGTTTTTAATGTCCATTATTAATTCGTAACTTCCAGAATACCTATATTTTATTTTTGTTACAGATTCCATGATCGCTCCGTTCAATAAATATTGTATGAAACCATGTACAAATTATATTAGGCAATTAATCATATTAAAAGTAATTAAGAACTGTTATTTACTTAAAGAAAATTAATGAATGATCTTATTTTTTTTAAATCCGGCTATGGGCAGAAACGACCATAATGACGGTGTCGTAACTTTCCGATTGCAAGTAACAATAAATTTTGCAGGGGTCGCGGGGTAAGCGTAATAAGGTAGGTACAGCAGCTTGGGCTTAAGGTAGGAGAACGAATGGGGAGTGATTAGACAATAAGAGTCTTTTTCGCCTTTCGGGAAAGATGTTTTTAGATGATTTTTCCCTTACAAAAAATCCATCCATCCATCCGAACCGATCTCCAAAAAATGGGTGGTGCCACAGACTCATAACACAATGTAATTTAGTTACAGGTCAAATAAATAATCTGTAGTAAATTTGTAAACAGAAGCAGTTACTTAGAACGCCATGTTGGACAATGGTGTCCGACGCTAGCGGAGGGTTAGTCATTTGACTTTTTTTTAAAAAAAAGTACTTTTTTAAAACTTTAAGAACCGAATTCTAACACAACATTGAGTATGTAGGTAATCTATCAGTCCATTTGGAATATAATACTTATCTTTAATTTTTATTTTTAACTTTTGTTTATTTTAAAATTATAATAAACAGATTTCGTACCGGACACATAACATGATGCTCGTTACATGCAGCCTTGTGAATAGAAGTGAAGGCTTCAGTGCACACGATCCTGGTTGTTATGATAAAATGACAAAGTCATTTGTCACAATATCCTTCTTTGGAAAAGTTCAGCCGCGGACTAAATTGGTTGTGGCGCCAGTGGTAGAGGAAAATATAGAAGTTTCTTTTTTAAGTAACTATTAACAAAAAATATGTAGTGAAGAAGATTATTAGAAATTAACGCAAGGAAGGAAATATTTAATAAAAGATGGAGAGTTATTTATACAATGGTGAACGAACGTAAATTACAGATCACAGACAAAATAAAAAGAAAAAGGCCACAGATTATTCAGTTATAATTGAGTAGCGGGTGAAACGTCGTATTTTAGTGAAGACATTTTAATAAATTATTTATCAGTAGTTAGAAATAGTATAAATTAGTTTACGCAGAATTACAACAACTAAACGTAGAAATAAAATCGAACAATTACTTACAATTAAGCAAATGACTTAACAAAATGTAAGAAGAAATTAAAATATTCTGTAAACAAACTTGTTGATCAGACGTCAGCTGTGTTAACTGGCTTTAAAGTTTTAATTTATGTTAATTTTGTTGTTATCTCAACGTCTGCTTAAATGTCTACAAAATGCTGCGGTTACGAAATTAATGAACAAAATAAAGCTTTACGATTGCGAAATGGTTTCGATCATAATAACTGTATAGTTGAAGAACTGTATCTATAGTAATTAATTTGTGTCCATTTTCATTTATAATGCCTGTGTGCACTATTTACAATGTAGTTGCTTGTTGTCTCCACCCAGTAGAATCTTAAAGCTTAGTTAAATTGTACCCAAGGACCAAAATAAGATAAACAGCAGAAGAAATTTTAGATGATGTGACTACATTTCCCAATAGACTTTTCAAATATGGGAATCACGAGGTACCATAATGAAGTCTTTTTTCAGAGCACTGTACGATTTTCGCATGAGGTTTTCATCCGCTGTAACTGGAACCGTACCAAAAAGTCACACAAACTTTGCTATATCCAAGTCTCTCGATCCCAGTAAAGCCTTCGCAAGATGTATGCTCTACTCAGTTCATCCTATTGCTTATATGAGGGATCTTATTTCAACAGTATTAAGACTTACATTGAAGTTTTTAAAGTAAGAGGTGCTTGTATTATGTTCTAATGAAATAAGTAGTTCGTTTAGATGTCAATGTATACGCTTTTACAATATAATTCCTAGGGATATTCAAAATTGGAGCCTCAATAATTTTAAAAGTGTAATAAAGGCTAAACTTTACTGTAAAGCATTTTATAAAATAAAAGACTACTTAGAAGATAGTCAGGCTTGGGAAATAGCCGCTGTAACTTCTGCACAGGTCATGTTGACATGTTTGTAACATAAGTTACGCTTTTTGTATACAATTTGACATTACGTTTATTATTATTATTTTTTAACAATGACATTATCACCTATTGTGACATTTTTATTTTTATTTGACATTTTTTATTTTATTTATTATTTTTATAATTATTTATTGACATTATTATTATTATTTTCTATTATTGTTAGTGTAAGGACCATGTGAGACTTGCCGCGCTTTTGGACTACCAGTTTTCTGCGTTCTGACAGTTTGAGTACTTGCGCGACCCAACCAAATGTTCTTTAGATCGGTATTGTTCGTCGGACAACTCAGCAGCACTTGCTACGCTGGTTGCAAACTGACACTTGCGTGCCTGTCTTCAGAACGGGTCCACTTAAACTGGTGTGGTTCTTTCATCAAAAGACCACTACAGAATGAACTTGCACGGTTCTCTCACATTATGTTATTTTTACATTGTCTGGACTTGAAAAGAGACTGACCTCTGAGTTTGTTTCGGCATTTCTTCTCAGAGTAGTCAGATAGGAAATGCCGGCTTCATCTAGTTTTTTACATATAAATTGACGTGTAAAAGTGCCGTTTTATGGCCTATTTGCAAAAATAAATTTATTGTTTCATTGTTTCATTGTTTCAATGAAGATGGAACCAAGATGCATTTTAAATTAATTATAGGTTCACTAGATGGTTGTGTATAATAACGTAATTTGTGATTTGAAATGATTCTACGGGATTTGCGGGCGCTGTAAAGATTCATCAAATGGCCACAAATTAGGACTACTAGGTTTGATGTCCAGCCTGGGCCGATGGGCGAGCAATAATGTACTGCCCGCATAGTATGGTGCGGAAGAAGGAACGGGTTGGATTTTAGTCGGTAAGAGAGAGAACGCACTCCGTTCCCTTTCATCCAGGAGGGGAAGGTCATTGGATGATTTTCTAAAGAATTTTGATGACGTGAAGTTAGTTTACACTCACCTGGTACCTTGAAGGATCGTCAAGTTTATGAAATAATGAACTGAGCATGACAAAATAGCTAAAAGCCTTTATTTTAAAGCATGTTTTAAAATAGCAGTTCCGCTATTGTGTGTCGCGTCAAACTTTTAATTGGCCAGCGTGAGGTGACGAGTGGTTTCAGCTTTCAAACTTTATTTAGCTTACTCGGTTACCCATTTTTGTGGGTTTTTGAATATACCCATTGCAAAAATGCTTTGTTTATTAATATTGAATTCTACGCTTTATTAACTCATTCTATGACATTTATTAACTGTATCAAAGAGTAGATTAAGTTTAAAATAATATTAAGAAATTACTTCAGTTGAAAGTTCCTCAACAAAGTGGTTGCATTTATGATTTCTTGTTTCTTGACTTGATGTGCATCATCTTGCAATGTAGCACACAGTAAAATTCACACAACATTTATGAGAAATAAAATAAAAATACGAAATACATAATTCATTTTAATAATTACTTTAACTCGACTCACGCAAAAGTATTGGGTAAATTTTTAATCTGGTCTTGACTAATTTGTTCATGTTCCACATCATTGTAAGGTCCTGCATCTTCTATTATGAAATCCGATACCTTCTCTCCGATCATGATAACCGTTGAGCAAATGTTTCCTGCTACAAGTGTGGGCATAACGCTTGCATCGGCTACTCTCAACCTTTTCACGTGGCGGACACGTAGCCTGCTGTCCACGACTGATCCCATAGCGCAGGTTCCACCATAGTGACCTAAGCTCGCCATCATGCAAAGCGAATAACACCGCCAATACCCTCGACTTCCCTTTTTAAATGCATCACATCTTGGTGTCGTTAGATCTACCATGGTCGCTGATAAGTTTTTAAATGCTTTTGTCTCTTCAACTTTTAAATAATCGACAATGTGATCAACAAAATTGTCTAAATCTAAATCATTTGAAAAACTGTCTGTAATCATCAACGGTGGATCGTGAGGATTAGCACTTTGGAGACGTACTTGTCCCCGAGAGTATCCATATAAATTGCTTAAAAGAGTAACTAAAACTTGTCTTCCGTTGGCTTTTTCATACAGTTTATTGCAGAGAGAATTTGAAAAACCCAAAGTAAATGCACAGAATTGAAGCAAAACCTTCATTTCATTCATGATGAAGCCCGAAGCTTCGTAGTCTGGGAACTTTATGTATTGTTTAACATCAGGCATATTCAATGACGCATACCCAATAAATAAGCCAGTGGGATATTCATTAGGATCTACACTACCTTTTGTCAATCTCTTATTGGTTGTATGTGGTATAAATGCTGCTATGTGATCTTGGAGATTTTTCCCAACCGGTAAGTTGGCGATACAAGTAATATTTAATCTCTTTAAGTCTCTACACGGGCCTATGCCTGAGAGCATTAACAGTTGAGGTGACTTCATAGTACCAGCAGCTACGATGATCTCCTGTCTAGCGTTAATAGTAACATTTCTTCCATCATCGGTGTGAACTTCAACGCCCACAGCATTGCGGTTTTCATCGAATAAGATTTTTGTTACTAAAGTACCTTTTGCTACCGCTAAATAAGAACTGTCAACAACATGTTTTAGGTACTGTGATCCAGAATCTTGTCTCATTCCATTGTACACTGTTATGAGCCCTCGTGCGTATCCATTTCTGTTTCCATCATTATCAGCAATCATTTCTTTACCGAGTTCTTCAAAGCCTTTTAAGTAATCAGCAGTAAACGATTTGTTTTCTCTAGTAATACCTATATATCCATTGGTTCCATAAAAATATTTGAGAGGAGAGTTCATGATTTCAGAATCGTGCATAGCTTCAGACTTGATGAAATATGGTAGTACGTTTTCCCATTTCCAAGTGGGATCTTTTGTGATCCAGTGCCATTTGTCAAAATTTTTAGGGTTTCCCCGGGACCAGGTCATGAAGTTTAATGCGCTTGTTCCTCCAAGCATAATTCCTTGGGTAAATTCTACTACATTATTTTTGTGACACTGGTAGCTGTATGTATCATTCACGGAGGTGTAATTCCAATCTGATTTTGATTTTTTTAGATACGCCACCAATGATGGATACTGTAACAATACAATTATTTTAGTATACCATCAATGATAGATGGATTCTCTTATAAATTTCTGAATAACTTGACGTTATATTTCAAAAACGTTTGAAAAGTAGGCTGCATATTATGACTTACCCTGCTTTCAAAAGGAGCGTCATGTCCAGCTTCAATGAGGAGCACGTTGTATTTCTGCTGGGCCAGCCTGGTTGCTATCACGCTACCTGCTGTACCGCCTCCTACTATGATGTAGTCGAAGCTATCACCAGCTAAGAGAAGAAAATGCATTAAACACCTGGTGACAGAGTCATGTTTAGTTGATGATTGATTATAGGTAAAATGAGTATGATAACTTTATACTTTAGCAAAAACACGTGGCAATTGAAGTGTGATAGTTTAAAAATGTACTGTTCGATGTGTCCGTGTTATTCAATGGTATAAAAGAAAATAAAAGAAACATGCGTATATAAATAATATCTTACATTTCAGCAGAGCTGGAGGTGGATACAAATAACCAGTGAGCTGTAACATCATGAGAGTGTACAGAGCTCCCTGTCTTTTCTTCAAACTGGCTATAACTGCTGTGGCGTTCATCGTTGGAGATCTCAAGAGTTGGAGATTCAGAGATCAGTCAGCTACTCCGTACGTTAACATTGAAGTTCACTTCAAAATATTCATCCATTTGCTGTACTGAATTCTAGTTTACGTTTCAGTTTAATTCTGATATTTTTTTTAAATCATTATGTCGCGTCCTCGCTGTTAAATACGAACTAGTAAGTGTTTTAAAGTTTTTTTTGAATTTATACATTTTATGGTACTTTTAGGTTTTTATGTGGGACCGTTAACATCTTGGGTGATATGGTGTTAATAAAGTTTTTTTGTTAATGTTATCGAACACTTTTTATGATCTAGTGTTCTCATAAATTTCAAGGTTATTTTAGTATAGGGTGATACTTTTTTAGAACGATAGATTGACACCCGGTTTCCGAAAGGCCGATCAATGTTAAAATCAATATAATCTCTTGTCAAGTCATCTGATTGGTTGACTGAATTATCAACAACCAATTAAATGACTTGACAAGAGATTTAACAGGAGATTAGTTAATTTTAGCGTTGACAAGCCTTTCAGAAACCGTGTGTGAGATAGAGTCTATCTATCTCAATTGATGACTCGGTATTGGATTGGATTGTATTCGAGATTCAAAGCTTAAATGTTTGTATGATCGAAATCAAAGCTTGAACATCTGTCACTAGGCGTTTTACTTATGTATGTGGAACTAATGACTGTTAGTTTCCTATAGATAGACTGAACTGTGTTCTGATCATTAATGAGTTACAAAATGCCTCGTTTTTCCTAATATTAAAAGCATCGACAGGTTTTTGCGTATCATTTCCACCACCAAATAATATGGGCAAAATGCGATCATCACCGCTTTGCATGACTATGCTAATTCTTACATCAGAAATCAGGTCAACATTACTGTCCCGTGACAAAGTTGGTGGTTATATTTTTTTTTATGTAGTTGATCGGCAAACGAGCAGACGGCTTACCTGATGGTAAGCAATCAGCGCCGCCCATGGACACCCGCAACGGAGGAGTTACGAGTGTGTTGCCGATCTTTTAGGGATTAGGGATTTGGAGATTTAGGAATTGAGGAGGGATTGGGGGCGGGGAAGGATTGGGCCTTCGGTAACCTCACTCACACGGCGAAACACAACGCTGTGGTTGTTTCACGTCGGTCTTCTGTGAGGCCGTGGTATCACTCCGGTCGAGCCGATCCTTTCATGCCGAAGCATGGCTCTCCCACACTTAATTATATAACACATACTAGTATGACTTTTAAAGAGTAAACAAATAAAGTTTGTTATTGAAAAACGTAATAACACTTTACACAACTCAGAGTCTAACGTTATGGTACTTAATAATTCTTGAAAGGCTATCAGAATATTATAGGAAAATTACTTGCATCCAAGTTTGTCCTATATAATATGATTGATTACTCAACTGCACGGCTATTAATGCAGTAGCTAAGCGATCTGCTGCTATTTATCAAGTAAACAGAAAGAAACCACATTTATTTTCTCTTTGAAGTTTGGATTTCTAAACACGCGCCCATTTTTTTTTTTATAGGGGTAAAAGGACTTGTGCAATTCAAATAATTTCATTTAGGAAACAGTGAGAATTGTTCCCTAATATCGGAAAAGGAGGATCTTCCGAACAGGTGGGCTTCTGGCCAACTGTTCACCTTTGGGTTTTTTGTATCTTTGTTAAATTACGTGCAAACTTCACTAGCACTACGTAGGATCTATCTATGACATCGACCATTTTTTTCTATTTGTTTTTATTTTCATTTTCATTAATAAAAATATTGTTAAAAAGTTTTGTTTAATAAGTAGTTTTCTGCACTGTGTTTGTCTGCGTGTCAAATAAATATTTTCCTTTCTTTCAATGAAAGATTGCTGAAAGAACACTGTCCTCAATTTTCTATATGGCTCGAAATTAACAAAATAATATACAATGTGCCTCTTAAAACATCACCCTGTGAACCCTCGATGTCTAGGTACATTAAAGGCATAAAATAATAATATCTTCTAGCGTTTTGTTCATAAAACTTGGAAAGTTCAAACTGGTACATTCACGCATGATTGACTATGGACGTACTATCACTAGACTATGTTTGTATCCTGGTTCCACTTGATTTAACTCCAACCAAACTTCGTCTTCGTCTAGAACCAGTTACAACATTTATGTTTCCGTTTTCCTTTTAGTTTCGGACTTGGAAAGAAATCTGTGTCACATTTTTAGCTCAGACTTTCACGATCACTTGCTTTAACGTCTGTTTTAGAATATTCTCGAATTTAAATTTATGTAATTTTTTATGTAACAGGTCGGCAAACAAGCAGACGGATTACCTGATGGTAAGCAATCAGCGCCGCCCATGGACACCCGCAACGGAGGAGTAACGAGTGCGTTGAGGACCTTTTAAGGATTAGGGATTTTGGAGATTTAGGTATTGAAGAAGGATTTGGGAAGGGGAAGGATTGGGCCTCCGGTAACCTCACTCACACGGCGAAACACAAAGCTGTGGTTGTTTCTCGCCGGTTTTATCACTCCGGTCGAGCTGACCCATTCGTGCCGAAGCATGGCTCTCCCACACACAAAATTAAAAAGTATTGTACATGAGTTATTATTTTTAATATTTTATTATTTTTTGTGGTTTGATCAATCAAACCCCAAGCGAAGGCGGCGTTCGCGTACTTGGTGATCCTCTTTGGTGTCTCGAATTGCCACGATTGAAAGTTTATCAAATAAGATATTTTCAATTAACTGTTGTATTATCTGTAATTAGTAATACTAATCATTGTCACACTAGAACTGTCAATGTCATTGTCATCCTTTTACTATAAATAAGGTGGCCGAGAGAGTGTCGGCCATTAACAATGTAACTCTGGTGCAGTGTGCTGCCCGACTGTGTTCACTGTTCTGTGCTATTAAAATCAAGCATCCAAGATCCGAGTCTTTTAATCATATCACTTGAAACAAAATATCAGTTGCCCTTTTGTAAGAGATATGCTATAGAATCTATTACCTACATCTTCTATTTAATTACATCTACTTTATTTCTTCTCATCAGTAAGTTAAGCAAATTGTTTCAGTACAAATATAAATGGCAGGCATAAGCAACAATGTCTCATTCGCCTCATTTTCCTCATTTCTCATCAGGATTCATGCAACATCAGCGATATAACTGCCGATAGGGTATCATTGAATTGGTACAGTGATAAAGGAAAATAGTAATATGCTTTGATGAAGGCAAAATAATACAGAATTGTGTACAATATGTTTAATCACGTGTGCTTATTTGTTCTTTGTTATTTCGTGGTGTGGGTACACGATGTAAAATACATAGTTTAAGTTAAGGTAGATAAGGTATGAACGTAACTTAAATAATTTATAAAATAAAATAAATAAAAGATGCATTGTACATAGCTTGAAATAGGATATATGTATTAGCATATTGTCATTTTTTAATTATGTATAAAAATAATTATGTTGTACTCTGGAATAATAAACACACGTTGTTTGTTTGACCCCTCCTTCTTCCTACATCGCAATGTATCATCGAAAATTAGAAAATTAATGAGTGAATACAATTAACGGCGTCTAAAATAAAGCAGTATTCCAAAAAAAAATAATGGTAGACAGGCATCACAAATAATGGCAACATAACGTTCAAATTCAAAATTCAATAACGAAGAACAGACTACGAACTCCATCGTGAGATACCGCACGCTAATGTAATTAAAACTTTAAGTTCAACTTGCACACACTACGATGTACCAGACAAGACATCTTTACATACACTAGGAACCAACTATCATTTAATTAGCATACAGATTGTGGAACATTCTGGAACATTTTGTGTTTCAAAGCTGGATAAGGAAACAGTTGGAGAGAAATTAAAGTGAAGTCGTCTGAATGATTTTATGGCGACACACAGCCTCGAATAACGGCCATCGGTTTGAGTTAGGAGACCCCAAGGACGGAATTATCATGATATATAGGTATAGACAGATGATAATTAATTATTATAATGCACGGTTATAGAAACGTTATCGCCTGCTCTGCACTTTGGACCAGATGTGTTCTTAATGGAATTAATACCGCTATGTTTAACTACATAGTATGACTTATTGGGGAGGATTTTTCATTAATGTAAGAACAAAAGCAGTATCATTCGGCACTAATGGGTCGGCTCGACCGGAGTGATACCACGGCCTCACAGAAAACCGGCGTGAAATAACCACTGCGTTGTGTTTCGCCGTGTGAGTGAGGTTACCGGAGGCCCAATCCTTCCCCTTCCCCAATCCCTCCTCAATCCCTAAATCTCCAAATCCCTAATCCCTAAAAGGTCGGCAACGCACTCGTAACTCCTCCGTTGCGAGTGTCCATGGGCGGCGCTGATTGCTTACCATCTGGTAATCCGTCTGCTCGTTTGCCGACCTATTACATAAAAAAAAAAAAAAAATCAGTGTGTATGTATTAAAATGGGAAACATATTTCTAACCTAATAACTTAAAGATCGATTACTTCACATAGTTTAGCGTAAAATCTACCTTATTTTATTAGTCTTAATGTTGTTAATTCGGCGCTAGAATGTGTATAGCCAAGATTGATTCGTGAGTCTAAGTGAAGAATCGTCAAATTACTAATTTATTTGTTTCTCTCTAGTTCATCAGCCCCGAACAAAGGCTAGGCAATCGATCTCCTTCGTGTTAATTACATTCTATATTAGACTTGATTGGTATATTTTATTAATCAAGACTTTATTGATGTGCCAGTTAAAATGACGGAGATGTTTCTCTTATTGCAAATTATTCTGATTCAGTTGTCTAAGGGATGGAGAGAAATCTCACTGAAACTCAAAATGAGTTCAATTTTCTTGACATCAACGTTTCAAAGGATTTCGAAATAGGCATATTCAATTTTATGGGTTTATTTTTGGACTCGTCTATTTTTGTATAGGTGTAATAAGCAGCTTTGATGAATATAAATAAGTCAATCTGATATTTTAAATAATTACTGTAGAGTAACATATTTACAAACTTGAGTATAATTTTAAACGTTGTCCAATGGAGCGAGTGGAACATTATTTACATATATACTAACTTCATAAAAAAATTCAGTAAAACATCCAAGTAATTCTGTATGGCACTTTCGTAAACCTGCATAACGGGTATCACAGTTTCACAATAAAAGTACGCGTATATACCATGTTAAATTGAGGAATTGAAAAAAAAAAAAAAAAATTGAGGTCATTTACCTTAACAGCACAGTTGACGCCGTGGCAGGGGAACCGACTGCCGTGCAAAATGAATCGGTTTCAATTCTACACGGAACAACTCTTTGTGCGATCTACAAATTGTTGTTCCGGGTCTGGGTGTCATGTGGATGTAAAATTGTTAGTTTGTAAACGCACCCACGACACAGGAGAAAATCTTAGAGCGTGGCAATGCGTTTTTTAACTTACTTATAAAAAAAATCTAGATACACTATTGACAATACTCAAATGTCGGGCCATGATAATGAAATAAAATTTAAAACCGGTTTAGGAATTTTATTCTGTCTAGGCTAGTCTTTATTACTATTTAACTGCAATTTCTGAAGCATTTACTAAATAAGTATGTTAAAAAAGTGTATTAAATAAAATCTACTGTTATTTACAATTTAAATGTGTGTCGATTTACAAATTAGAAGTCATTGACCCGAAACAAGGTTTGTAGTAGATGTATTGTGTTTCGTCTATATCAAAAATCGAATGAATACGAATATTACGGTTTTAGGGTTGAATTAGTAACAAGCTGAAACCAAACAAAGAAGTTTAATTTATTTTTACAGCAGAAGTTCTAAAAATAAGAAAATCTTTGAACTTTTACGAATTGTCCTCTATAATCATTTCGGCTCCTTTTTCAGCCAGTGCTACCGTTGGACCAAAGAGGGCACTCCCAATGGTACCCGGTATAACACTAGCGTCAACCACACGTAGCTTTTTGACACCCATAACATTCAGTCGGCTGTCTACTACAGATCCCATAGAACAAGTCCCTACGTACCTTCCTGAAGGGACAATCATACATAAAGCGTAACATCTCCAAAACTGACGTGACCCAAACTGGAATTGACCACATTTTCCAGTTGCCTCCACGAATTTTAAACCCATACTTTGGAATTTAGGAGTATCTAATACTTTATAATAGTCCATGATGTAGTCTACTATATCATTCAAATCACCATTATTTGTATAATAATTTGGAAATATATTTGGCATAGCGAATGGATCGGTATTTTTTAAAACAACTTCACCAAAAGATCCAACGTTTGAAGGCAAAATGATAGATAAGAAAATTTGAGTGTTGTTTGAATAAAGTCTGTCACAAATTGAGTTTTTGAATCCTAAACTAAATCCACACAGTTTCAGAAGATATGTAGGATCATCTATTATATAGTTAATGGTTTGATAATCTGGATCACAGCTGCAATTCCGTAGAGCTGAGTAGCCAATTATTAATTGCGCTGGGTAATCATTATAATTAAAAGGCGCATTTTTAGCTGGTTTGTTTGTTTGAAAACCCAACAGTACACCAACGTTATCTTGTAATTTCTTCCCTACGGGAATATTTGATAATACAGTGATATTTAATTTCTCTAGTCTCTCTTTTGGGCCGATTCCTGATAACATCAGAAGTTGAGGAGTTTTAATAGCTCCAGTGGTAATAATAACTTCCTTATTTGCTCTTACAGTGATTGACTTGCCATTTTTAATAAATTCTACCCCAACAGCCCTTTTGTTCTTATCGAAGATTATTTTTACAGCAGTGCTATTACGGGTCAAATGCAAATTGGTATCATCTTTATGAGGGGATAGGTAACCAGTTGCACTTTCAGTACGTAATCCTTTTGAAATGTGATATAGAGCTCCTGAATATCCTATTATTCCAGCTCCAATAACATCAGATACCACTCTTTTACCAGCTTCTTTATAGGCTTGCAGATACTCCTGTGTTTCCATACGGTTTTCTTTGATTACTCCAATTTTACCTTTAGTGCCATGATATTTTCTATATCGTGATTTAAGAATTTCATTATCATTCAGTTTTTCACTTTTTAGAAAATATTTCAACATATTTTTCCAATTCCATGAATCTTCGTTGAATTTTCTGTAGTCCTGAGGGTTGCCTCGTCCATAGAGCAAATAGTCGACATTCCCTGAACCTCCCAACACCTTACCAAAAAATGCTCCACTATTTTTGTGACATTGATCTGTGAAACCATCGCTCGGTGTAGTGAAGTTCCAGTCCATACGCGAGTTCTTCATATAGGTCAATAAACCAGGTGCCTTAAAATAGAACAATAGGTGCCCATAACTTTTCATTTTAGTCTTAACAAATTAATATATTTTTACTTACATAATTTTCTTCTCCAGGATTATCTCCTGCTTCTATAACCAATGTCTTAAAATTTGCTTCAATCAGCCTCCCAGCTACTACACATCCAGCAGTGCCACCTCCCACCACTATGTAGTCATATTTATCACCATCTAAGGTACCAAAAACAATAAGAATGTAAAAACAGTAACATTGTTAGAATTTAATTTTGATGATATTTAAAGATAAATTAATAACACTCACCACAAATTGGAGCGTCTTCAGGAAATAAATAACCAACCATGTTGAGCATAGCCAAGGTTTGGAAGGCTCCTTGAATGTTGAGTATTTGATTTATTTGCATGCTCGTCACTCCAGAAGCCATGGTGAATGCTGTGGAAATAATGGACACGAATATGTTATAATTATAAAAGAAATATTTGAGTTTTTTTTAACTACTTGGCACTCGTCGGTTTAATTTAATGTAAAGCATATGTTATGTAATTGATAATGATAAACTAAAACCGCAGTAAGTATCCTGAGGAATTGTTCGGTTTGATCCCTGCCTCATCATTTCGGCGGCGACCCACGGGAAAATACTTTCATTCCCATCATATACATAGTTGGAAATCAAGAACTGGGCGATTTCACTTTGAAATGATTTTTCGCCGATGGTATTTCCGAACTGATACGACCAATAAACCTTCTAGTAACGTGGGTACTCCTTCAAAAGGCCAGTAATGTGCCTAGGATTCCTGTGCTCAGATGGACACCCCTAACTCACGGCAGCGTACGCGGAAATTTTACATGTCCATTTGTAAGGATCGTGAAATTCTTTTACGCAAAGCAGTTTTTCGTATAGCACGGATTTTCCTGGTCGCAAACCTTTAAAATTTCACCAAAACAGGTAAATTAATTATTATAACAAATTTAATGTACTTACGTGTCCTAGTTGCAACACCTTGACTATCATAGACAATTTCGTGAAATGAACTGCAGCCACTTTTGAAATTAAATTAGGAATAATGATGTAAATGCTTATGATAACACAAGAGAACCAGTTAGTGTAATTTATTTATTTAGAACCTAAATAAAATAAATAACTTTTGTTTAACGCATACCTTTTGTTGTTTCATCAGTAGTTTATCAAATGCATTAACATTTTCTGAATAATTTTGGACTCATATGACGCAGGACTCATAAGGTTCACACGTTCTGACAAGGGTTGTTGGTATCGCTAAATACAGTCACTTCGAACTGCCAAAACTTAAACTGTATGACTATCAGTGTCCTAAATCAATAAAATAAAAAAAATATATATAATCTATAAAATCTCAATTTCGTCATTTGAAAATATTTTGATATAATAATTGCGTGAGATTTCACATTTTGGTTAAGATGCAGAGGAAGTTTGAAAGCTGCACACTCATAGACATGGCAATGAAATTTTAAAATACACTTAACAAGTTATTGTGTACATGGCTCTATTATTTTATCATTACCAAAACGGAAATATTTTTTTTTTTTTTTTGTGAGGGGAAAATCATCAAATGACTTCTCCCGCCCAGGGCCGGGCAGGAGGGAGTGTCAGACTCTTACTGACTAAAAACCCCCCTGTTCCTTCTCCTGCTCTGTGCCGAGGTCGCGGTACCTCATTGCGCTTACCCCGCAACCCCGGCTGAACATCAGCCCTTTAGGGCCCCGTCTGTGGTGGTCGAATGGCTCCTTGAGGCGCGCGCGGAACGCTGCGCGCCGTACGCTCGGGCCTGGTTCTGGTCGGGCGGCGAGCTGCCCTTACTCGCCGACCGCAGGCCCGTACTTACGGTGGCCGGAGATCGTCCCTCGATCCCCGACGCCCGTAGTGTCGCCAGTTGCGGCTGCTGGGGCGTGAGGAGGAGGATTGCTCCCTCACGCGGGCCGCCTCTCTCTTTGCGAGCATGACTGCTTCACAAAAGGAGGAGACGGCGTCCCAGTTCCTCTCACTCCGCACCATGGCCTCGACTAAGGCCGGGCGCGAGAGGTCGCCGCCGCCGATCACTTCCCTGAGGATACGGCGGTGCTCAGCCCAGGCAGGGCATACCGCTACCGTATGCTCCACCGTATCCTCTAGGTGGTCCTCACAATGACGACACTCGGGCGTTTCCTCCCGCCGAATCCGAAACAGGAACCTACCGAAGCTGCCATGCCCGGTAAGCACCTGCGTCAGACGGAAGGTGAGGACGCCGTGGCGTCTCTCAAGCCACTCCTCAAAGAGGGGTCTTACCGCTGCTATGTTAGCGTGCCCGAAAACGGAAATATTGAATTTTTAAAATTAAATGCTAATTGCAAAGTTGAAAAGACAAATAATTTATTTGATAAATTTAATGCTCGCTACACAGCGAACCAATCGACAGCTTGGTTACTGCGTCGACCTATTCATTGGTTTGGGATTCTGCCTATTTTAACCAATACTGTGTTAATGACAACGATATACATATTAAAAATAAATAAAATGTTTAGTAATACATTTTAATATTTTTTTTATTACATTGCTACTTTTGTGTCTGGTTACGATCATTAACAATTATTTCCGCAGCCTTTTCTGCAAGGGCTACCTCTGGGGCGAAAATAGCTCCTCCCAAACTATTTGGCATAACGGTAGAACCAATTACTCGAAGTTTCTTAACCCCGTACACACGTAGTTTTGTGTCCACTACAGAGCCCATAGCACAGGTACTCGCAGTGCGTCCTGTCAATGCAATCATGCACAAAGCATAGCATCGCCAATACTTTCTCGATCCGAACTTATGCTTCCTACAGTCCGAGGTTGGTTCCAGAAATTCCAAACCTAGGCCTTGGAAATAAGGAGTGTTTTCAATTCTTACGAAATGTTGAAGGTTGGATATCATACCATTTAAATCATCTTCATCTTCGTAGAAGCCATACTTTATAATTGGTTCATCGTGTGGATTTTTGCTTCGTAAAGAAACACTTCCACGGGATTTTGTGTTTATGTTAAGCATGATTGTCACCATCATCTGAGTGTTATTTGCTAATTTCAGAAGTCTGTTACAAATTGAATTTTTGAGTTTTAAAGTAAATGAGCATAATGTTAGAAAATATGCAGGGTCGTCAATGATGAAGTTTTGCGTCTCGTAATCTGGGTATATGCTGTTTTTATTTACAGCTGAATAGCCTAATATAATCGGTGCTGGTATTCTGTGGGGATCAAATGGTGGAGGAACTGCTGTTATGTTTGTTTTGAAATCTAAAAACGCTCCTATTACGCACTGTAGATTTTTTCCCACTGGGAGATTTGATAATACGTTTATGTTCATTTTTTCCAATTGTTTTTTAGGACCAATACCTGACAACATAAGAAGTTGCGGTGATTTCACTGGTCCAGCGGCAACTAAAATCTCTTTCCTTGCTTTTACAGTAATTATTTTGTCATGTTTCACAAATTCAACGCCGACAGCAGTTTTGTCAGTGTCGAAAATTATTTTTGTTGCTAAACTGTTTCTAGTTACAGATAATTTTATTTTATCTTTTATAGAATTCAAATAACCGCTACCAGCATCATTACGTTTTCCATTAAGTATTGTATAAAGGCATTTCGAATATCCTAATCCTACCCCAGCACCGACGTTGTCAATAACTAAATTTTCTCCGGCTCTTTCAAAACCCTTTAGATATTTATCTACTATAGAACGATCTTCTTGAGTGACTCCAATTTCACCTTTAGTGCCATGAAATTTTCTAAATTGGGAATTAAGAATTTCATTGTTTTCTAATTTTTCACTGACTATAAAATATTTGAGCATATTTTCATATTCCCAGGATGAATCACTGGTTGCTTCGTAAAATCTGTGATAGTCTCTTTTATTTCCTCGTCCATATATCATGTAATTTAGGATTCCAGTTCCTCCAAGACCTTTACCATAGAAAGATCCACCATCAGCCTTGAGGCAGCTACCTGTTCGACAGTTGAGTTCCGACGTATAGTTCCAGTCTATGCGGGAATTTTTAATATATTGTACCAGTCCAGGATGCTGTGAACGTAAGAAAGTGTGTTTGTATTGTAACGTGCATCTAAACGAATATTATAAAGAGGTAAAATTTGTAAGTTTGTATGTTGTACATAGTACATATGTTTTTTTTATGAATTTCATCTGAAGGGATTTCGTAATTTTTAGCATTATGAACCAACTCAAAACCTTGAACCAGCAACTGACTCTTGACTTTTCTGTTGTTGCAAGTGTCCATGCGCTGCGGTAATTGCTTACCATCAGACGAGACGTAGCCGTAGCTCGTTTGCTTCCTATTAAAAAAAAAACTTAGTAAAAAAATGTAATGTGTGTCACATTAAATTTTTTTGACTACTCTCTTTAAGGGTTTAAGTCTTAAGTTTAATGTACCAAAATGAATCAATTAATGAAATCTTTATTTTGTTGTTCTACTTCTTACTTACAAGACTCTCGACCCCAGGAATATCACCGGCCTCTATCACCAAAACACTGTAATTGGCTTCCACCAATCTGGTTGTCACTACAAGTCCAGCTGTCCCTCCACCAACCACTACATAATCGTAAATATCACCATCTGAAATATTTAATTCATGTTGATGAAGTTTACAAGATTTACTTTAGTAGTGAGTTAATTTGCTTAAGTGACCAGACGCACAATCCCTCCCCTCCCACCCTATTTCACAACGCCTAAAATGGCCTAGTATCTTCTCGAGGCCGGTATTGTCATTGTCCATGCGCTTACCACCAGGTGATGTATACGCGCGTTTGTCGACCTATACCATAAAAAAATTAAAAAGAATTAATTATAATTTATATTTGAACTGGTTGTAAAAATATAGCATTGCAGGTGCCCCACTTTTAAAAAATAAGTAGACAGTAAAAAATAGCCTGAACCACTTAAATTATAGCATGATCACTAAAAAAATAGCCTGAATCACATAAAAGAATAGCCTGAATTACTTAAAAAATAGTCTGAATCACTAAAAAAAATAGCCTGAATCACTTAAAAGAATAGCCTGAATCACTTAAAAGAATAGCCTGAATTACTTAAAAGAATAGCCTGAATCACTTAAAAGAATAGCCTGAATCACTTAAAAGAATATCCTGAATCACCTCAAAGAATAGCCTAAATGGCTTAAAAGAATAGCCTGAATCACTTAAAAGAATATCCTGAATCACCTCAAAGAATAGCCTAAATGGCTTAAAAGAATAGCCTGAATCACTTAAAAGAATAGCCTGAATCACTTAAAAGAATAGCCTGAATCACATAAAAGAATAGCCTGAATCACTTAAAAGAATAGCCTGAATCACTTAAAAGAATAGCCTGAATCACATAAAAGAATAGCCTGAATTACTTAAAAAATAGCCTGAATAACTTAAAAGAATAGCCTGAATCACTTAAAAGAATAGCCTGAATCACTTAAAAGTATAGCCTGAATCACTTAAAAGAATAGCCTGAATCACATAAAAGAATAGCCTGAATCACTTAAAAGAATATCCTGAATCACTTAAAAGAATATCCTGAATCACTAAAAAGAATAGCCTGAATCACTTAAAAGAATAGCCTGAATCACTTAAAAGAATAGCCTGAATCACTTAAAAGAATATCCTGAATCACTTAAAAGAATATCCTGAAACACTAAAAAAAATTGCCTGAATCACTTAAAAGAATAGCCTGAATCACTTAAAATAATATCCTGAATCACTAAAAAAATAGCCTGAATCACTTAAAAGAATAGCCTGAACCACTTACTTAAAACAGTTGCATCTTTGGGATAGGTATTGGAGTTTATGTTGAGGAGAGCTAGGACACTGAAGGCTTGCTGCAGCTGCCTGACCCTCGATATTTGGGTCGATGCAGATAACATGATGTATAATTCTGGAAAAAAGCTTGATATTTTAAGTGTGTCGGCTCGACCGGAGTGATCACAGAAAACAGGCGTGAAACAATTACAGCGTTGTGCTTTGCCGTATGAGTGAGGTTACCGGAGCCCCAATCCTTCCCCTCCCCTAATCCCCCCTCAATCCCTTAGTCTCCAAAATCCCTAATCCCTAAAAGGTCGGCAACGCACTCGTAACTCATCCGTTGCGGATAGGCGGCGCTGATTGCTTTCCAACAGATAATCTGTCTGCTCGTTTGCCGACCTATTTCATAAAAAAAATACATTAATTTTCAAGTGCCTGATTTCCTTTGAAATAAAGGATATTTTTTAATGTTTGTTTGTTGTTTTGTGGATCTTCCACAACTCTTGAACTAAACTTTGCGATGTATTTCGTCGTGTGAGTCAGGTCCAATCTTCAAATCCCTAAAACCTTATAGGCCGGTACGGTAGCAATCTTGACTTTTGGCATACGCTCCGTTTATTATTAAGTGAAACCGTCTTTTGGCGTATTTTATCAATTTATTAACCGAAATCTTGTAATAGAAAAGGAAATAAGTGTAACGATTAATTAATTAATGCCAAATTAGTACTTACCGAAAAAATTGGTAAATTTCCAAATTTTCTCTTGACGTTTAGCAAAATTTCATTGGTCAATTATTCTTAGAATATAGTTGTAGACTAAATGAAATAAAATGATAAATTGCAGTAATTTATAAAATTCGAGACGGACATTATCAACTTTATAAAAAATAAAAAACAAAAGTATTTGATAGAATTAATTAGAATAATGCTACTTGAATAGGTACAATAAAAAGAAAAAGTAAAAAAAGAATAAAATAACACAAAACTACTTTTTTAGTAGTTTATGAGGGGCCGAAGCCAACTGCGCAGGAATCTATGTCACGCAAGGACATACATACATACATACCTGCTAAAACAATGTAATTAGACATACTTAAGACACAAATTGCAGACTCGCCAATTCACCGACCCCGGGAATGTTTGCTAAAATCTCTCAATACAACAGATGGACCACTGAAATGTGATTGACTGAAGGGTCTACCATCAGTTTTCTTCTCAGACCATTTGCATCAGCCCAAGTATCCTGTTGTTCTCTATAGCCAGCCAATAAAGACACCACACAATTCGGACATGAGGAGCGGTCACTTCTCCTTGGAGTACTCAGGACGATCGTAGCTCGCGGGATTTGCATAAATTTTATGTTTGTGGAATGTTATAGGTTCCACTAGTTTATAGTAGTTTGTTTAATTCTATTTTCGACTTTAAACGTTATACTTTTTGTTTTTTCTCCGCTATCGGTATTGCACCCTAGCATTTTTTGCCTTAATGGATCAAACTTTGTCAGTTAATGTTCTATTTAAAATTTAAATTAACACTTTTAAAAAGTAATTTATTTTCTTTCATCTATTCGTGTGTTCAACAATTGTATCTTTATTTATAAATATTTGTATTTTAAGGAGTTCATTCTTCTTTCAAATTTAAGAATTTAAAATAAAAACAGATCACGTACTTGAGAGTGGTGCAATAATCTTTTAGCCAATATAACATTCAATATAATTGAATAATATGTTTTTTTTGGCAAACCCTTTGGGCGATTTGTGTATGAAACCTTAAAAAGGATTTATGTTATCAGTAAAAATAACATTACTCGTCGAAAAATGATTTCCTTGGGGTATACTAGCATTACATACTCAGATACATGTACCTTTATATCAGACAAGCTCTCTGCTTTCGGCTTTACTCGCGTGGAGTTTTAATATTTTATCACTCAGTATTTTAGGAATGTCGACGCAGTCGTTTAAATCAGTCCAGTAATTTCGGAGTATCTTTTGATGTGATAGTACAACAACCGAGCAAGCAGATTACCTAAAGGTGAGAAATTGGCGCCGCTCTTGGACAACCGCAACACTTGAGGAATTTACCATTGCTTTGGGGGAATAAGGGAAATAGTATTGAACCTCCAGTAACTTCACTCACACGGCGAAACACAACGCTGGTTGGTTCACATCGGTTTTCTGTGAGGTCGCGATATCACTACGATCGAACCGACCCATTCGTACTCAGCCATGGCTTTCCCATACAACCAAACCTGATGATTGATGGTTTGGTTATGTGATGACACCGCCACAGTGATACTGCATAGGTAGTAAGTTATTGAGACCTAGACTCAGAGAGCAAGACAGAGTATCGGACATCGCCTACGCTTTACTAACTTTTAAACTTTCGCGTTTCATGAGAGCAACAAATAAAAAAAAATCGAGTATTAACGCGAAAAGTTTATAAGAATGACTTTTGGAAATCAAATCAAATTCTTTATTTCAAATAGACCAAAAAAGGCACTTTTGAACGTCAAGCAAAAAAGATATCATAAGGTTTAACTTTATATGTGTCAGTCTGTCCGTCTGTCCTTCTAGTGAAGCTATTTGCTCGTTCCAACGCGTCCGTAAAACGCGTTAATGTAATTACATGACATTGAGGTCTATGGGGTTTCTAACGAGAGACGATCTCCGGCCACCGTAAGCGCGGGGCTGCGGACGGCGAGTAAGGGCAGGTCGCCGTCCGACAAGAACCAGACCCGAGCGTACTGCGCGTAGCGTTCCGCGCGGGCTCGAAGAGCCACTAGACCGCTACAGACGGGGCCCTACAGGCCCTGATGTTCAGCCAGGGTTGCGGGTTAAGCGCAATGAGGCACCTTGACCTCGGCCTAGAGCAGGAGAAGGAACGGGGGGGAGGGTTTTAGTCAGTCAATCCCTTCCTTCACCATGGGCGTGATAAGTCATTTGATGATTTTCCCCTCACAAAAATGGGGTTCCTAAGACAACGTCCAATCGTCAAACTTCTTGGAATACGAAACTCAAAAAATATTAGTCGTGTAAAACACATTGTAAGAACCATATAAAAATCCGCAAACTAAAACTTTAGTGACAGCAAATTTTAACTTAACAAGAATAAAATTCCATTTTTCATCATTCGAGAGAACGAAACGTTGTTATACTAAGTTACACTTATGTTCCATTCAACTTAAGTTCCCAACTTAAATCGTAAAAGTTAACAAAGTTCTTAGTAGTTATGTAAAGTAGTTTTTAACGTCGCAGTAAAAACTTTTAACTGCTGGACAATTTGTCTAGACATGGCGTAATGTGGACTACAGTATCGCAACTAGATGCATTACTACGTTGTAAAGTACTTTAATTAAAAGTACTTCGATTAGGAGTAATATTTCAGTTTAGCTTTTTTTATTTTAGCCTATGTATTCTGATGTCAGTGGCTATATTCCCAACCAGGCTTTGGACTGGAATATTCAGGATCAAAAGGTGGTTGGCGGTCCTAGAAGGACCTTTTTTGTGAGGGGAAAATCATCAAATGACTGGAGGTAGTGTCAGAAACTGACTCAAAACCCCCCTTGTTCCTTCTCCTGCCGAGGCCGCGGTGTCTCATTGCGCTTACATTGTGAACGTGGCGATGCATTACGATGCTTGACGCTTAGATCATTGGAATGGTGTGGACAGACATAAACCGCAAAGCTTAACACCGATCGAGAGGGGGGGTTGCATTTGCCAGCACAATAATGTACGTCAGTTCGGCTCAGAGAAGGAGAAGAAACAGGAAGGTTTTTACTCAGTACTCTGACACTATGGAGCGGGAGATGTACCTAATTGAAAAGAACGATCGAGATATAGGATTTTTGTAGACAACCAGCTCAGCTGTCTCCTGTAGTAGTCTAACGAAACAAGATAATATTTTAATTCAAGTTTAGGCAAGCATAAATAAATGAAGACTCACAATTTCAGAACTTACTGAACTCGTAGTTAAAACGGGGCAAAATAGCACGTGGTTCTTGCACTAACAATTTTCAATGCACAGTTTTTTTTAATGGTATAAGTCGGCAAACGAGCGGACGGATTACCTGATGGTAAGCAATCAGCGCCGCCCATGGACACCCGCAACACCAAAGGAGTTACGAGTGCGTTACCGGCCTTTTGGGGATAATGGTTGCGGATGTAAGGATCGGGAAGGGATAGGGGAAGGGACGGAATTGGGCCTCCGGTAACCTCACTCACACGGTGAAACACAACACTTTGGGTTGTTTCACGCCGGTATTCTGTCATGCCGGTGTTCATTCGTGTCGAAGCTTGACTCTCCCACAGTTGGCGCGGTGGCTGGGCAACTGGCTGCCGCGCAACTTGTCGCGAGTTTGAATCCCGCACTAAACAACTGTTTGTGTGATCCACAGATTGTTGGGGTCTGGGTGTGAAGGGCGTGTGAAATTGTATGTTTGTAAACGCACCCATAATACAGGAGAAAATCTTAGTGCCAGGCAACCTATTTTTGAATGTCTTAAAGTATACAATTTGAGTCCAAATACACGGATTTCAAATAAAAAAAAATTAAATATAATTTTATTTTTATACTTATGTATTTCACGTGTAATCACGATATTAAAATCTAAATAATGTTTTAATAAGCATGTATATTAAAAAGCGCCGCGTTTCTAAGAAGTCAAGTACATATATTGTTACTAAGAAGTCAAAATATGTATCTGTATTTTTATTTAGTAAGGTTATTAACTATTTAAATACGCAACTATTATAGGAAAAAGGCCTTAGTAACAGGGCCCGTACAGTAACCCTTTGAGCTCGGAAACCTAAAAAGAATTTTAATCAACAAAGTTATCAAGTAATTTTAACTTACCAAATACTTTCAATCGAAACTGATCAAATAATATTTTATAAAGAATAAACAAACGATAATCACTCAAATTACAAATTGTAACTTAAAATATTAATCAGTTTTGTGTTTTAAACTTCAAGATGTTAGTTTCAAAGGAAATAGGTATCTACTTGTAATAAACAATATTTAATATTATCTTCTTTAAGAACGTCCTAATATTCGATATAGTCTATAGGTATATTATAATTATTACCTACATTTATTAACCGACTTCAAAAAAAGGAGAAGGTTTT